GCCCGGCGCGTGCCGGCCCCCCAGCCCGCGGGCCGCCGCCTTTGTTCCGCGCATTAGCATAAAGCTGCCATGGATCTCCCGTTTAAATAATTCCACACAAAAGGACAGAGCATGAAAGGGAGCGAACAAGGGAGGATCCGCGAGGCTGCGCCGTCCGCCCGGCGCGGGGAGGACCCGCGCTCGAGTATTTCCCTCCCCTCGAGTTTCAAGTGGCCCCCGGCAATCTGCTGCGCCCCATTATGCGGCCGCGGGCCGACGGGGTGGCTGGCCGCTGCTTTTATCCTCCGAGAGTGCCGTCGGGGCCACCGCACGCTCCGTGAAGGGCCCTCAGGGCTGTTTGTTTTTAGCTCGGGTGGCACCGGGCAGGGGAGTGGGGCAGTGAGGTAGGGGACGCGAGGGCAGCGGCGGGAAGGGGGTGTTGGCCACAGCTGCCCAAAGAGAAGCCTGGAAATGTGGGAGACATCTTTACTAGAGGTGGCGCCTGGGCGAGCTGGGGGTTCAGGGGGACCGGTGGCAGTGAACGTGGGCCCTGGGCCGCAGAAGGGGTCGGCACCTGCGAGGGGGCCAGAGCAGAACTGGCCACAAAGGCCATGGTGACCTCCATCCCCTCCCTCTGCATTGCCCCACACACCTCCACCTCGCCTGCAAAGGGGTGCTCTTGGCCTTGCCTGGCTTCCTGGTCTTGGTTTGGGGCACCAGTGAGCTTCCCACGGCTTTCCCTCTAGGTCACCCCCCCCTGCCTCCAGGGCAGCCTTTGTCCTCCTAGCCCCTGGTCCCTGCATCTTTCCCTCCCAGTCTCTGTCCCCCTTCCTTCCCCTCACTCCTGTCTCGTCTCCCCTCTTCCAACCTCCCTCCTCTCCACTCTCCCCTACTCTCACCCCTCCTAGTCCACCTCTATCTCCCCCTCACTTCCAGTCCCTCTCCTCTCAGACTGTCCCCCCACACACTCCCGAGGTCTCTTCTCGTCTCTCCTGTCTCTTCCCTGCCTGCTCTCTGTCCCTGCCCTCACCTCTCTCCCCCTGTCTCTGTGCTCTCTGGGCTTCACCTCTCTCCCACTCTGCCCTTCCCTCCCCCCTGCAGGGCTCCTCCGACTCTTCTCCCCCCCTCTTACTCTCCCCTACTCCTCTCTCCCTCCTCCCCACAGGCCAACGTGTGTTATTTTATTTGTCTAGAGAGGGCCTATTTGTTCAGTGATGTGTGGCCTCCTGGTCGCCTGCTTTAATGGGGGACGCGGAGGCTTGGTTTCTGTGACATTAGCATACAGCTGCCGGGCTCCGCGCCCCGTTCCTGGCGCACACTTTATCCTGGCCTTATCATCACTTCTCTCAACCAGAAAACAATCAACAGCTCCTCGCCCCGAGACTTTCCAGCCCCTCTCCTGGTTCCTTGGCGAGCTCTCTCTCTCTCACACACCCTCTTGTAAGGGTAAATATTGATCAGCTACTTTACATTTTTTCCTCTATGCCTTGCTTCGTTCCCACCATCTCATCTTTTTTTCTTCTGCTTTCCTGTGATATTTGGGTGCAGTAAAAACCATAAAGGGCCCTTACTGAAAACGAGGTGGTGACACTCCACTAAAAACTGACCTGGCAGGAGAGCATTAGAGGTCTCCGTGAGCCAGGGTTGTTGCATGTCATTTGGAGGACTACAAATTCTGGAAAATTAACTTTGGTATTGTCTTATCAGTATTCTTTGCCTCAAACCGTAGACTTCCAAGTTCAGGCTGGAGCCCAAGATGTCCCCAGCCAGAGAGCAAATGCTGACACAGGCAGGGACAGCACGTGTCCTTCCGTGTCCACAGAGTTGGTTTCAGCACCGAGGAGTCCACATACTGGTGTCTATGAAGTGGCCTCCTGTGCCAGACTTTACCATCAGCTTTATTCTCTTTAAAGCCCTTAAAACAGCCAACCTCAAACCCTGACCAAGATTTAAGTTCTTTCAGTCTTAGGAGACTGCTCCTCAGTGGTAAAGCTCTTAAATCTGCATGTATATGCTACAATTCCTAAACCCTTTCAGTCTTAGGAGACTCGCTCCTCAGTGGTAAAGCTCTTGAATCTGCATGTATATGCTACAATTCCTAAACCCAGGACATTATTTAGCATAAGTGCTGCATTTCCTATTTGGGGGAAATTACTTTCTGAGTTAGGAACAAGAATTAAAACGATGTCACGCAGGGCACTTTGTGGACTAAAATAGATTTGAGATGTTTTCAAATCTGCCACGCTGCTCTTGCAGGCCGAGACGGCTTCTTAAAAGACTGCGAAAGAACTTACTCTCAAGTGGATGCATGATTTGGGATTGGGGCTGAATGGCCGTTAGGGGTCACTTGTATGTGACTAGACGCTTTTGAATGGTAATACTCGGTCACAGAAGCCATAATTGTTGATCCTCTAACTGAGGCTGTTCTGTTAATCCCCATCCTGGGGTCCCAGGGCCTGTCACAGAGACTCGCGCCATTTGCTGATGAGTTTGACCCAAGTCCTCTCAGGAAAGGGGATGAGGACTGGTCGCTGGAGCTGCCTCATTCACCAGCCCCTGAAATACGGTTCCCCGTGTGTCGGGTCTGGACTCCGGAGAGTGGCCCAGTCACGACGGTTCCCCATTCACATTTCGGCGTGTGCCATATGGCCAAGGCTGGGCCCTCCCCTAACGGCCCTTGTGTTTGTGGAAAGCATACGTGTGAAGGAATTAGTGGCGTGTACTGCCTACTTCCGTTCGCCTTAGGAAAGGCAGAATCCGGCGTGCTGGACTGATTTTATTTTTGGGAAGTATCAGGTGACTTTGTATTTCCAAATAAGCTGTTTGCAGCCGAGGATTTGGGAATGTGATGCCAACTCGGGCTCTTCCTTCTAATCGCCATGCCTTGTATTTGTGCCAGCTCTTGCTAACTGTTAACGTATGTATAAAAGGGGCCTGCAGGAGGCACTGGACTCCCACAGGGCCGACCGAGGTTTGAGTCCTGGACCCGGTGGCTTGCATCTCACGCCGGGTGCATGTGTGTGAATGCTCATGATCCCGAGAGGAGAATAGAGGACAGGGGATTGTGGCGTGGCCATCTCTCCAGGGGCTGATTTCTCACTTTCTCTCTCTCTGTCTCTCCAGTGGGCACAAGTGCTCTACAGCAAAAATCTCTCTTAAAAAACAAAACAAAACAAAACAAAAACAACAACAAAATACATACAAATAGCAGAGGACCAGGTGGGGACACAGTGTTAGCACAGCTGGATTCACATTGGAGAGGTCATAGGTTCAAGGCCTAGAACCGCCCTAATCACATCTGGCATGGGCATGCCCACGATCCGTGCCAGCTGAGATTGGGAGTAAATTATGCTATGAAGAACTCTGTTGGGGGTGGGGCCAGCAAGTGGCTTGGTGGTTGTGGCACTGGACTCCCACATGCTTGAATGCAGTTCAGGTTTCCATCCCGGTGGCTTGAAACTCATGCTGGGCACATGTGCGTGCATGCCCGACACTCCAAGAGGAGAATGGAAAAGGGACTGCAGCATGGCCATTGCCCCTTGGGGGAGGGGAGAGATTTCTCACTCTCTTTCTGTTCTGTGGGGGTGCTGTCTCTCTCAGAAGAAATAAATGAATAAACTTCTTTGTAAATGAACAAGAATGGGATCAGCAGTTGGCATAATAGCTATGTCACTGGATTCCCATGTAGTTGACCATGGTTCAAGTCCCGGACCTGGTGGCTTAAAACTCACACCAGACATGTGTGCATGCGTGCCCAAGATCCTGAGAGAAGAATGGTGGAGAGGGGATTGCAGTCTGGTCATGTCCACTGGGAGCTGATTTTTCAATTTCTGTCTCTCTGGTGAGCGCACACACACCCTATAGCAAAAATCTCTCCAAAAATGAATATGTAAATAAACAAGAACTGGATGTATATCCTTTAAAACCAGTTTTAAGTTTTGACCAGTTTTAAAGAGATCCAAATAAGTGAAAATCTTTTTAAGAAGAAAAATTTATTTCTTTCATCAGAATGAGAGAGACACAGAGAGAAACACTCTCTTTCTTTGCTTTGTTTTCACCAAAGGGCACATGTACTTGCTGGAGAGAGACAGACAGGGGAAAGTAAGAAAGCACCCCCACCCCCACCCCATGGGGAATGGTCATTCTGCAATCCCTTCTCCATTTCTCCCTCCTTTCAGGATTTTGGGAGTGCGCACGTGCACACACATTCCTGGTGTGTTTTTCAAGCTGCCAGGTCTAGGACTTGAATCGCATAGTCAGCCATGTGGGATTCAGCTGCCTTAACACCACTCACAAGCTGGCTCAAGAGAACTGTTAACAGGTTTCATGCCACGATCCCCCCTCCCGCCTTCCCAGCCAGCGAGGATCACTGGTGTGCCTGGCACATACAGGTCCATCAGGAAACCGAACCTCAGTCTTCCATAAGATCCAGCCTCACTTGAGCAGTGTGTGACCACCACGCCACTAAACCGGCCCTGATAAAAACAGTCTTCCATGTTAGTCTCGCTGGTTCCTGAATCCCTGCATTTTTCCTGATATTCAGTTAATTTGTTTTATTTATAAGAAAGAGGGTGTCTGATCCACATTGCAGGTAACATGTACCCCACCCCTATGTAAAGCAACAGTGCTGAGAATCAGAGAGAATGAGCTAGATTCATTTCCCTCTACCATTTGATGATCTAAAACCTCTGTGTGACTCCTTTGATCTTCCAGTTTTTCAGCATCTTTATTAAACCAAAGATGTGCACTGAGAAACAGAAACCAAGGCTGAGAGCAGCCTCCTTGTTTCAGGTCACGTAAGCTTTCCCATGTAAGTTCTTCTGATGTTGGGCTACAGATTTAATTTTTCATCATCTGTTTACTGATTTCCCATTCTGAGCACATGGTTTTCTTTCTTTCTTTTTCTTAATCACCCACAAGTATTACCAGGTAAACGTGAAGAACTAACAATACTGGTGGCAGAACATTCCGGGAAACCAAACAGAATCACACCCAAGTTTCCCACAGGATGAGCTCATTTTATTGCTAAAATGGGTTATTCTGCAAAGGAGCAGGTCTGGTGTTAGTGAAGCCTCGCTGCCCCAGGATGGAGACGCACGGCCGTGTGCCACCTACTGGAACCAGGGGAAACTACAGGCACAAGGGAGGGGGAAGAGCCAGGGTGTGCTTGGCTGTCAAGCCAGGCTTCAGAGAACTGTTCTGTTTCCCCAGCGCACTTCCAGGAACTAAATGTAGAAACCAATAAAGCGGAGACCTTGACCACGCTAAATGATGCCAGGCCATGCGTACATGGGCAGGTGGTAATGGTTGTAGTGTAGGTAGTCAAGGATGCTCCTTTCCACCAGGGATTTGTAGATGCGTTCCTCGAAAACTCTTTTGAGGTACTTCCTGGGTGTCCCCACCAGTTCTAGCTCCTCGACCTCGATCTCATGAACTAATTGCTCTATAGAAGGAAGGTCTTCCTCCTGCAAACACAGAACCAGGCCAGATACAGAAATTACTTGAACTCAGCACGGTAACCAGGCAGTTTTGCTGAAATGAAAAACACAGTGGTCCACTCCCCAAAGATGGCCATTGTTGGGGTAGCTATTTAAAAATATTTTTAACTATGGCAAAATATGCATAACCTAAAACTTATTATTTTTACCATTTTAAGTGACATTAAATACATTTGCATTTGTCGTACAATCATCACCATTGTTCATCTCCTGAACGTTTTCATCTTCCCAAACTTAAGCTCTGCATCCATTAAACAGTAGCTCCTGGGGCCGGCAGGTGGCATGATGGTTAAAGTGCTGGACTCCCATATGGCCAACCATGGTTCAAGTCCCACACTTGGCAGCTTTGCTTTCTCACTCTCTCTTTCTCTAGTCAAATTAAAAAATAATAATAAATAAAATAACATAAAATTAAATAATTCTTAAAAAAAAAAAACAAACTGCCCAGTAACTCCCCATCCCAACCACCACCCCCTAGCCTCTGGCAAACACCCTTCAACTTTCTGTCTCTGTGAATTTCATCCTCTAGGACCTCACATGAGTAGAACCATCTGTCATTTGTCTTTTTTGTTTGTTTAAGAGATATTTTTGCTATAGGGCATGTGCGCTCACCAGAGAGAAAGAGAGACAGAAAGTGAGAAATCACCCCCTAGGGGGGTGGCCACAATCCCTTTTCCTCCATTCTCCTGTTGGGGCATTGGGCACACTTGCAGACCAGCCCAGTGTGAGTTTTAAGCCACCAGGTTCGGGACTCGAACCGCCGTCGACTACGATGGAGTCCAGCGAAGCAACCATTATTCCATCTGCTGGTCCTAGCATTTGTCTTTTTTATGACTGGCTTACATCACTTAGCATAACGTCTTCAAGGTACACCAGGGATAGTCATTTTGTTTTTCTTTGTGTCTTATTTTAGTTTTGTCATAAGATGCATGCTCTGGCTGAAGACAGATAGGGAAAGTGAAAAGTCACACCCCCCAGGGGAGATGGCCACACAGCAGCCCCTTTTCCATTCTCCTCTAGGGATTTGGGTGTGCACACACACCTATGCCTGTACTTCTCTGTCGTTCCAGTAGGTGGCACACAGCCACGTGTCTCCATTTCTGGGGCAGCAATGCTTTATAAATACTGGGGCCACTGGGTCTAGTACTCAAACTGTGGTTAGGCATGTGGGAGTCTAGCACCTTACACCTGTTGGCCCTAAAAATGGTCATTCTTTGGTTTTTCTTTTTTTTTTTTTTTGAGAGAATTTTCCTATAGACTGCATGCTCTCACCTGAGAGACAGAGAGAAACAGAAAGAGAGTGAGCGAGAAATCAACCTCCAGGGAGGATGGCCATGCCACAGTCTCTCCTGCTCCATTCTCCTCTTGGGATTTTTGGGCACACATGCACATGCATCCCGTGTAGGTTTTAAGTTACCAGGTCCAGGATGTGAACCACGGTCGACTACGTGGGAGTCCAGCAGTGTAACCATTATGCCATCTGCTGGTCCCCCAAAATGGCAATTTTAAATCCTTAATTTTCAGATAAAATTATCTGGGGCTAGCCAGGTGGCATGGTGGTTATGGCATGGTAGTTAAGGGGCTGGATCCCACATGGCCAACTGAGCGATTCGAGTCCCAGACTTGGGAAAACTCCTAGTTTACTATACTTGGTTACAATCCCCAAGAAGTAGGATTTTAAAACTTTAGAATAAATGCTTAGTAAAGCTAGATATTACTAGTATCTTTAAAGACAGGGCCCAAAGAGAATAAAGTTATTTGAAGTGAGAATGATATGAGTATCTATAGTATAGTAGAGGTTTTTCCAACATTTTATTATACACATTTTCAAACATAGGGTGACAGAACCGTACAGTGAAAATCCACGCACATGCTTACACGCCCCCACTTGGATTCCACAGTTAACATTTTACTGTGTTTGCTTTGTCTTCCCCTGTCTGCTCCTCTGTTGGAGTGTTGCTATCGATGGCATTTCATCCAGGTTTGAGCAGTACTTTCTGAGCCCTGTGATTGGACACTAACCTAAAGGCAGGGGCGTATGGACTTCAAGGGTTAGTTATGAGGGAGCTTTGGAAGGTTCATGGAAAATGGAATTAAAGTATGAGTTTATTTTGGTGTGACAAAAATAAAATTCATGCATAGGTTTTTCCATAATACACATTTTTTCCCTAAAGATGATTTCTTTACTTTTTTTTAAAGAATTATTTTATTTGGGACCAGCAGTTAGCATAATGACTGTCGCTGGACTACCATGTAGTCTACCACAGTTCGAGTCCCGGACCCGGTGGCTTAAACTCACGCTGGGCGCGTGTGCATACGTGCCTAAGATCCTGAGAGGAGAATGGAGGAGAAGGGATTGCGGCATGGCCATCCACGCTGATATCTCGCTTTCTGTCTCTCTGTCTCTCTGGTGAGCACATGTGCCCTACAGCAAAAACCTCTCCCCCGCAAAAAGAATTATTTTATTTGACTTTATTTATTTGTTTTAATTTTATCAGAGAGGAACAGCGCGCGTGAGAGAGAGACAGAGAGAGGAACTGAGAAAGCAAGCTGCCAGGTCCAGGACTCAAACTATGGTCAGCCATGTGGTAGTCCAGTGCCCCCAACCACCATACCACCTGCTGGCTCTCATAATACACATTTCCATGAACTTTTTAAAGACCTTCTCCTCTTTCAGCTTGCAATAATTCTTCTATTTTGAGTGGAATAAAAAGTGATTTACTTGCAGGATTTTACTGGGTCATTAATTAATTAATTAATTTTTTGAGAAGTTTTTGCTATAGGGCACGTGCACTCACCAGAAAGAGAGAGACAGAGAGACAGAAAGCGAGAAATCACCCCCCAGGAGGGATGGCCACACCGCAATCCCTTCTCCTCTATTCTCCTCTCGGGATCTTGGGCATGCACGCACACACACCTGGCATGAGTTTAAGCCACCGGGTCCAGGACTCAAACTGCAGTCAATCACGTGGGAGCCCAGTAACATAGCCATTAGGCCAACTGCTGGTCCCAATTAATTATTTTTTTTTTAAATGCCAGAGGACGTGTGCCTGCCAGAGAGAAAAAGAGAGAAAGTACTCCCAGTGGGTCTTGGTCATGCCACAATCCCCTTTCCTCCACTCCTTCCCATCAGTATTCTGGGCACATATGCACACATGCCCGGCATGCTTTTTCAAGTTGCTGGGTCTGGGACTCAAGACACAGTCAGCCATGTGGATCCAGCCTTCTCTACCCAATGCTTAACCACTGTGTTACAGAAGTGGCCCTAACTTTGTAAAGTTTTATTTGTAAGATGTTGTGAATAATGCAGCAGTGGACATGGGAATACGGATATCTCTTTGACATACTGATTTCAATTCTTTGAGTATATACCCTGAAGTGGTACTGCTGGATTCCATGGTAATTCTATTTTTATCTTTTTGAGGAACCTCCATACTGTTTTCCAAAATGGCGACCTTAATTTCTATTCCCACCAACAGTGTACAAGGGTTCCCTTTTCTCCTCGTCACTTACTATCTTTCATCTTTCTTATTCATTTTTTTAAATAAACAGGCATTCTAATAGGTATGAGATGATAAATCAGTGTGGTTTTAATTTGCATTTCCCTGACGATTAGTGACCTTGATAATTTTTTCAAATATCTATTGAGTATATATCGGCATGAGTTTCAAGCCACCAGGTCCAGGAGGCAAACTGCTGTGGCCGTGTGGGAGTCCAGTGACGTAACTGCTACATCATCTGCTGGCCCCATGCATAACTTTTTGAGGAATCGATAAACCATTTTCCATGGCATCCGTACAATTTTACATTCCCACCAGCAGTGTGCAAGGTCCAATCTTTTCATAGCCCTGCCAATATCTGTTATTCCATCCCCTTCTGGTGTTTTTCTATAACCATCCAGGTGGGTGTGAGGTGGTGCCCTACTACGGTTCTGACTTTATTTCCCTAAATTAATGATGTCGGGCATCTCTTCATGTAAATGGGTTCATGTCCGGGCTCGCAGTTTTATTGCATTGATTTGTATATTATAGCTATCCTTCTGCAATTAACACACTGTCTTGATCACTGCTGTTTTTGGTACATTCTGAAATTGGACAATATCAGTCCTTCAACTTTATTCTTTTTTTTCTCCCAAGATCGCTTTGGCTATTCGGACTCCTTCTATTTCCATATGAAATGCGATCAGGATTTGCATTTCTGTGAAAAATTCCCTTGAGATTTTGATGGGATTTCAATATTGAATCTGTAGATTGTTTTGGATATTACTTTTTTTTTTTTTAATTAACAGGAGATGCATGCGCTTACCAGAGAGAGACAGAGAAAGAGAGAGAAACATTCACACAATGGGGCATGGTCATGCCTCAATCCCTTTTCCTCCATTTCTCTGTCCTGTCAAGATTTGGGCATGCATATACATGTTCCTAGTGTGTTTTCCAAGTTGCCGGGGCTGGGACTTGAACCACAATATGCCATGTGAAGTCTAGCTTCCCTTACCTACTAGGCCACAGATTTTTGTTTTTTTTGGAGAGGTTTTTGCTATAGGGCACGTGTGCTCGCCAGCCAGACAGAAAGAGACAGAGA